CAAACATGCCCTTTATTTGTCTCAAATTTTCAATCCAACAAATACACAAGATCATATTTTTCATAGTACATTTTCTAAAATAGTTGCATCAAAATCATTTCATTTTTATGGGGTTTTATGATAGTGGTCTATGATGGTATATATGGAGCCTTATGCGAACAGACAAAGTAAAGACACGCTAATGAACCCTGTAATTAATCGAAATTTGCTACTTTGGGTTATAATCTCATTTATAGTGGGAAAGATTAGATCTTTATGAAATGCATTCAGAGATCATTTCATATCTCTATGCGTATATCCTAATTATACTCCATTGTAACTAAGAGTAACGTTAAAGTAATTAGCTTTCCAGGGTTGGTGAAATCTAGCAATCCAAATCACTGTTCTGGTTTAGTATTTCTTGAATGAAAAGATTAGAATTTCCGCACTATGCTGCGTCTCAAAAGGGATCCATGAAAGGGAACAAAAAGAAACGAACAGATATTTTCTCAGAAAAGTGAAAAGGGAAGAAAATGACATCTTTTGATTTGATCCTATTTGACTTGTATACCTTAATGCTTGAGAAAGGAACTTTTGGGGTCAAATTCAAAGTTCCCTTTACTCTCAACTTTGCTAGTTTCAAGTGAAAATAGCATCGGAGAAAGGAGGCCACACACTCCTAAAGAGCCAGATAAGATTATGGATTAAAACCCATATACAGCCTAACACACAACCCCTACCCAGAAAGCAAGGTCCCAATTTTGCTACACATATACATAAATTCTGGCATAAAAAGACCCAAGATCTATTTTCTTCACAAATTTTGCTAAGATTAAATATGCTTTTTGTTGGTTCCATCAAAAGTGACCATTTTCAACTTTAGTGTGAAATGGGATCCATGGTTTTAGTGAAGTGGAGGTAATGCTCCAAAAAAGGTAGCTGTTTTTCTTTGTTTTTTGGTTTGGATTTGAAAAAGGTTGGCTTTTTCTTTGTTTGTCAATCTCTAGTAGGGCCACATTCTTTTTTATTGGTAAAAGTAAGGACATATTCACTGGTTAAATGTAACAGGGACTGCTCGGATGGATTGAGATGAGGAGGAAAGGAATTAATGTTACAAGAGGGACCATTGAGAATGATCATGTTGTGTGCATGGGGTCAATCCAAATTCCCATTAATTGGCAATTGGCTCCCCAGTGAAACTTAAATGAACTAAGACATGTGATTGTGAGCTGACACCTCACATGCACATGAAGAAACTCAGAGCATGTTGCATATGCCTACTAGATGACTGAACAAATACCGGAAAGAACATGCAGATGGAAAGGAACAAAGAAAAAGGTACCTGAGAGTAAGAATTCAAAACTTTTTATTGCGTTTGGGGTTTGGACCTGCCATGGAAGAACTGGTGCATTACGCTGCATATTGTCGGCAATAGTACTTAAAACTTTATGAAAAGAGACACACAACAGAGTTATATATATGTACCTTGAAGGAACTGGTATCTTGCGTGAATGGGGAACTGAACTGGTAAACTTGAGAGCAGGAGGTGGAGCCAGATTTGCTTTGAAGGGATTCTTCAAATATAAAAGGTTGTAGCCTTGTTAATTTCTGTTTTGTTAGTTGAAGTTTCCCATCACATGAAATGTCATCTGTTGGTTGATAGTGATTTGAAGAAATATCCCCTTAAAATTTGTCAACTTGCAATCCTTGATGTTAAATTTGAAGATCTGTCCAAGAGATGGGCTTAAATACTTTCACACACTTCCTGCCATTTTGAACAGTTCTGAACCATTTCTAGTATGGCTATGAATCATGGAAATTGGGGTTGCTTCAAGGGTCCATGTAACGTCCTATTAGTTTTAATTGATTTTGCTAGGGTTCTTTTGTTTTTCTTTGCCAACCAAATCAAGATTTTGCCAAGGTCCAAAGAGCAAAATCTTAATATGTGGGGATTGGGAGCACCCCTGTTGATCTATAATAGTGATATTTGAGTAAAATATACTCGCTCGAAAACCACGGACAAATCTTTAGGTGGAATCCTTAAACATATGTAATGTGGTTGAGAAATGGGGGCATGATTTTGGTAGAGGGGGTTGAGGGTCAGGGATGTGTAGTTCTATTCTATTTTATTTTCTGCCCCATTCACTTTCTTTTTGAGTTCTTTTGGATACTCCAAACTGCCCAATAAAGAAAAGCTGTGTTCCTTTCAGTGCATTTTTAGGTATTTTGAATTGGTAGCATGTCATATCTGGATGGTCCCTTCATCACCATCCCCAAATAAGTGCTTATTATTCTTGGAACTTAAAGAAATTTAAGCAAAAGGCCTGAGAATTATTTCCAAATGATTTTTGCGTAAAGAAGTTGAGAGCGGATAAATACTATATACTTGTATGGTAATCCCTAGTATTAGGCAATTGAATTTCTCTTGTTTTACGTGAGAAAGAGACAGAGAATTAAAAAGGGGTGGCTGTTGAAAGGGCATTTTCGGATGTTGAGTCACCAACAAGTCATCCCTTTTGCCGACATTTCATTAGCAAAGCAGTTATAACGTATCAAATCTAATTGCTTGAGTCACACTTAAATCTCATTTCTTTACTGTACGATTTTCCTAAGTCCAGAACGTCAGCAAACCAATCAAATATTTTATCAGCAACAGTTTGATTCACATTTCTATGCACATTATCAAAAATAAGGAAAATTTACTTTCTTTGTTTCCAGTACATTAGATTATTTACTGTGTTTGAGTTGGATTGAGAAAATATAAGGCATAGGATCCTGGGCAGGAGAAGCTTACTGAGATGAAGCACTTCTATGCAATGCTACCAAGGAAGCATAAATGCCATCTTTTATTTTCATCAATGCTTCATGTTTTCCTTTCTCTGCAATGATTCCATTTTTCACCACAGCTATCAAATCAGCTCCCTTGATGGTAGATAAACGGTGTGCCACCACCACTGTAGTTTTGTCCACCATGACTCTATCTAGTGCATCCTGAACAAGCTTTTCAGATCCTGCATCAAGAGCACTTGTGGCCTCATCTAGTAGTACTATTTTTGAAGCCTTAACTATAGCCCGAGCAATTGCCACCCTCTGCTTCTGTCCCCCAGATAACTGGACCCCTCGCTCTCCTACTGTTGTATCATACCCCTGAACCACTCGAAATCAGTTTCATAAGCTTGATTCTTTTTATCAATTTCATGAGTACCAACAAGAAGAAAATACATTTTAGTAATGTAATTTACCTGTTGTAAGGAGCTTATGAATTTGTGGGCATTAGCCAATTCTGCTGCAGCTATAATTTCTGTTTCTGTGGCATTTCCTTCCTTTCCGTATGCAATATTGGCCCTGATAGTGTCATTGAACAGCACAGGCTCCTGGCTGACCAGCCCCATTTGCTGCCTCAACCACTTGAGCTGTAACTTCTGGATTTCAACCCCATCAAGTGTGATCTGACCTGAATTAGGATCGTAGAATCTTTGCAACAATGATATTACCGTAGATTTTCCACTCCCACTTTCTCCAACAAGAGCAACTGTCTGAAAAAAGGAAATCGCAGATGTTAGTTTGTAGGTATAAGAAATAGTTCTTTTGCCAAGCATAGGCCAAATATCACTTGGTGAAATTAGCTTACCTTGCCAGAATGAATGGTTAGGCAGAGATCTCGGAAAATTTGAACGTCAGGCCTTGTAGGGTACTTAAAACTGACATTCCTCATCTCAATTTCTCCCTTGAACTTTTCTATTGTTATTCCAGAGTCATCACTAGAGTCTATTTTAGACTTCCTGTCAAGAAGTGCAAACACAGAAGCAGCAGCACTACTTGTTTTACCAGCATCAGGGACAAAGGAACCTGACTGAGAAACTCCATAGACAGCTGTAGTGACGGAAAGAAAGACCTGCAAGTCCAGAGAGCAGCATTCACTTCAGTTGCCACCCAACTTCTGTAGCAGAAAGTGTAAGTGTCTGGATACTTGCTACACAAGGCAAACAAGGAACTTACACGAAAAATTTCAGAATATGTTATCTTCCTAACTTGAAGAAGTCTAGCCCCAGCATAGAAGCTGGCAGCATAGACAGAATAGAGCAAGAAGAATGATGCTCCAAAACCTGAACCGCCTACCAACCCTTGCTTCATTGCATTTTTCATTGGACCTGAACATTTTTTCTGGTAAAGTTCCAATACTTTCTCTTCAGCACAGAAAGAAGCAACTGTTCTAATATTTCCAACTGCATCACTCATGACTTGAGTTGCTTCCTCGTACATTTTCTGCAATCATTTACAAGTTTCTACAAATAAGCATAGCATTTTTGTCAAGAAATCAGTCATAGACTTGTATCAGTGAAGGTTTTGGAGCAAACCTTAGCATCGGCACTGAAACCACGTTTGATGAAAAGCATTTGAAGATAACTGTTAAGTCCTATCATAGGCATAAGCACAAGCATTAAGAGAGACAATTGCCAGTTTGCTTTGAAAGCAATAATTAAAGCAGCAATTATACATGCAATATTCTGAATGAGCAAACCAAGTACGTCTCCTACTAGACTTCTCACTGATGCTGCATCTGCAGAAAGCCTGGCACCAACTGCACCACTAGAATGTTCAGCCTCATCAAACCAGCTTACTTCCATGTGAACAATTTTCTCAAAGCACAATAGTCTAATCCTTCTTATCAACTTGCAACCCGCCACAGCAAAGAAGTATGATTTGAAGGGGTTAGCCAAGAGGCATGTCAAGGCAAGACAAAGATACATCAGTGCCCAGAAATCTGTATGCTTACGGAGTAAATGTGCTGGCTCATAAAATGATTTGATTGCCTTACTCAGCAGGAAGCCTATCATGGGATATACTACTCCATTGACTCCAGCAGCAATGGTACCAAGTAGTAATGAAGGAATCTCTGGCTTGTTCAGATAAGCTAGGCGGCAAAGTGAAACTTCTGGAGGTGGCTGAGATGCTACTAAGGCTGGTTTGCTGGGTTCTGTAGGTTCTGTTTCTTGGACACCGATTCCTGTGGGGATAATACCAAATGAAAGTGAGAAGGAATGCTGGCTACCGTTTCCAACTCCGGATGATCCACGACTGTTGGATCTTAAAAATGATATTCTTTCACTTGGATACCTTCCAGAATCTGCACTTATTTCTGGCCTTTCTGAATCATTCTGAACATTTTGTTCCGAGACCATGCTAATTTCTTGCAACCTTATAAGCTGGTAGTATGCTCCATCAGAATCATTGATTAGCTCAAAGTGTGTACCTTTTTCAACAATTGTTCCTCTATGAATTACAGCAATCATGTCAGCATTCCTTATAGTACTCAAGCGATGTGCAACAATTATTGTAGTTCTGTTGATCATGATTCTGTCCAATGCCTCTTGCACAACTTTTTCAGATTCTGCATCAAGAGCACTCGTGGCTTCATCTAGAAGTAGGATTCTTGGGTCTCTCAGAATTGCTCTAGCTATGGCAACTCTCTGCTTTTGACCCCCAGATAGCTGAGTTCCATGCTCTCCCACCAGTGTGTCTAGTCCCTAGTCACATAAAACACAAAATCCTGGCTTTTGAAAATTTCAGAGGAAAAAATATCTGGCAAATTGTGAAAGGAAATCATGAAGAATTCAAACCTGAGTCAGTTTATCTATGAATTTGGCAGCATTGGCAAGTTCAGCAGCAGCCCTTATTTGTTCATCAGTGGCACCGTCTTTTCCATAGGCAGTATTATCTCTTATGCTAGAAGCAAACAGCACAGGTTCCTGACTGACAAGGCCTATTTTCTGTCTGATCCATCTAAGCTGGAACTCTTTTAGATTAATACCATCTATTAGGACTTCACCTGCCTGAGGGTCATAAAATCTCTCAATCAAACTAATAACTGTAGATTTCCCACTTCCACTCTCTCCCACCAAGGCTGTAGTTGTGCCTCTCGGTATAGAGAGGGAGAATCCACTGAATATTTGCTCATCTGGTCTTGCAGGGTAACTAAAGTTGACGTCCTTACTCAATGTCCCCACTAATTTCATCTAGTTTACTTCCATTAGTGTCATAAGCATCTATATCCGGCTTCCTTTCTATTGCCTCAAACATCTTAAAAGCTGCAGCTTGTCCAGCAGCGAATGCAGTCATGCATGGAGATGCCTGTCCTAGAGAGCTAGGAAACAAATAAAAGAATCAACTTAGAAAATGACCAATCTTTGTGAGAACAAAAAGGAAAGAGAAATGAGTAAGGAAGGCAAAGGCAGAGGATTACGTACAAGGATCCAACCAACACAGAAAACAGTATATTTATGACATCTCCCCCTGTATATCCATTCTCAACTATCATTTTCCCACCGAAGCATATAGCCAATGCAAAGGTGCTGAATGCAATAATTGTTACCACACCAATTCCTATTCCAGAAACCCAGCCCTCTTTCAAACCAGCCTTGTAAGCTTTTAGTAATGACTTGTCATAGCTAGCTATAGCTTGCTTCTCTCCAGTAAAAGATGCTACCTGAAATTTAATTGGCAATCAAGATCACAATTAGATAAAACGAATAAAAGAAGAAGTTTAGTACCGTTTATGCTAATTGTTCATACCATTCTAATTGAGCTAATTGTCTGCTCCACTACATTTGCTGCAACTGAATATTCAGTTTGCCCATAAGATGCCAGTTTTGCACTGATAATACTCATGACAGCACCAGCAAATACAAGTGGTGGAATAGAAGAAATCAAGACAAGTGTGAGAAGCCATCCCTTGGAAAATGTTATAGCAAATCCTCCTATAAATGCTGCTATTAGCTGTATGAATCTTCCAACCTGCATTTCAACAACAAAAACGGAAATAAGACAATGTCAAAACTCCATGTCAATATTAAAGTTGCAAATTGCAGTAAATGGTATTCATTCTAAGGCATTTTTCAGTATATCCATTCCTTTTCACCCATGGCTTCTTGAATAAGAACAGTATCACCAGATATCCTGCTAATGATTTCTCCAGTTTGTGTATCTTTATCAAAAAAGGCAATGTCTTGCCTTAGAATGGTTTTGAGGTACATAGTTCGTATTCGTGCAGCTTGTCTTTCTCCAGTGATAATCCAGCAAGTTATCTCTGGCAAATGGAAAATATAAATTGTTCAGTTTCCAATAAGCTTTAGAGTTTAGTCTTAACAAAAAGAAAAGTCCTCAAAAACTAACCGAGAAATGCTGCAATTCCAGACCCAATAGCCAAATATACAAAGTATGAGGAGACCTGAAGATACAATAGATGAGGTTAATATTGAATAATCCAGTTAAGAAAATGGTAGCAAGTATAGAATTCAAAGAAAAAGAGCCACTGAAAGTTTCTTTTGTATCCAAGTTCTAGTCCAACAGACATAGGTAAAATTCCAGTGTGGAACAATACCACTTTTCATAATTCAAAATGGAAGCAAAGCTCAATTTACTAAGTAACATGCAATCGAAATGTAGATAAGTAATCAAAATAATCTAAATGAAGAGCACCATAGAAACGTCATGAACGACTTCTTTGATATCTGCATTTTTCCCAAATGCATTCACTACATCTCCAAAGATCAGAGTCAGTAGGGGCATACAGAGCCCATTTCCAGCAGCACCAATGGTTCCAACAGACATTAATAGATAATCCAAGGGATCAGGAAAAGAAAAAAGCTTATAATATGGTACTGTCCTTTCATCTTTCTTCTTACTCTTGTTAGAATCTAGCTGGTTCTCTGTCTTTGCTGGTGGCTCCTGTGACAATGCCACTGGCAGATGACTTGCTGAGGCAGATGCCTCCTCTGTGTTTAAATATTTATCCATGATGCTTGCTACAATTTAGCAAAGCACAGATTGGTATTCCTTTTGTGGTACTTTCCTAAAAACCACAAGAAAGAAGTATCTTCAAAAATACATAAGGGGGAAGACTTCCTTGGTCCCTCTTACCTTGGCACAGATTTCTACAACACAATGAAACAGAAATATAACAACCCCAGGAAATAAGTAAACAATTTCCAGTGAAGCAAGTAAGGATTTGAGGCAGAATTAGAAATTCTGCAACGTCAAGAAATGCATTTACCTTAACAGAACTCACCAGAAGACTAAAAAAATAGCAGTTAGGATTCCTTCTTCTTGTGGTATGATGGAGATGTGAAGACTATTGCTTTGTCGGTGTGAGGATTGAGGGTATCAACTTTATACTACAAGTGCAATGTATACTGCAGGTGCAGTGTCCCTACATGCTTTAAACTTTACCATTATAGCCATTAGCCAACCATGAGAGCCTAATATAGTCAAAAAGTAAACAAATATCAAGGAATAATAGGTTTGAACCTCCTAATATTGACCACTTTTCTGCTTGAAATGTGAACAACTTTACGACCTATTGTCTGTTGATTCCAGAACCTGAGTTAAAATTCACATACTTAATCTTCCTTTCCCATGTACCTCACACCCTAAATTATTGGAATCAAAGAGCATGGGACCGCATGATGTTTGCAGATCATAACATGTTCGGTGTTCCCTTTCCCAAATTCATGTAACTAAACCAATTTGGTTAGGAATTGTCTCACTGTTTTGTTCTGTAGGTATACAGTTGCTGATTTTGTTTGAATTTGGAATTTGATGGTTTGAAAATATCGAAGTTGTATTTTTTTTAAGGAGCATGACTAACTTCTACCTAGATCATTGGTGTCTAAAGAAGAAAACCTTTGGAATAGCATGGTCCACACATATCAGAGCTGCCTCAGAACAAGACAAGAGAAGTTGCATGTCAGCTAGCCAACATTTCCATGAAAAATAATTTATACGCAAGCAATGATGATACATGCCCTGAAATCTGGCATGCCATAAGTCAAGTTTATAAGGCTTCACTGTCATCTGTCTATTGCTAAAACCATGAAAACTTGAACTAATCTTAGTGCCTGGTTCTAATATTGTCTAGAAGTGACGGAGATTAGGGGAAAAAAAAACTCATCTCCTTTTTCTTGTTTGTTTAAGGGGGTGAATTTGATGCCTTTTGCAATAACCAAGAAATTAGAATATGCCATTGCTCCCATATGCATGAGCAAGCTTTACAAGCAAAAATCGTGATTTATGCCATATGGCTGGTAGGACAAGAGGGTCTATCAATCTTTTTTAAGGAATAATAGATTAGGCTTTCTCATTTATTCGAGAGGCTTGCCCCAAACAACATAATTATAACACACGAGCAGCATAATAATAATAAACACAGGATGCTTTTGCCCCTAATATCAGCCTCAAATTGGTGAGGAATAAAGACAAAAGTACATGACACTTAGAAAAATCACAAGATTATGATAATCATAATGTTAAGAATAGTAATTAAAAAACTTAAATATTGTTAATGAATTAATATATAAAAAAGAGTTATTAAGAATATTTGAACAATTTCATTAGTAAGTCCAACATTTTAAATATTAAAATGTTTTGATTTTTACGTTTTTCAAGGTATATATTATCTTCAACACTAGTACAGGTAGAGCATTGCATTTCTTAGTATCATTCATGGTGTAAGAAATGTTCTTCCCACTTCAACTTTATTTGGTTAGGAGAGAGAGGACCATGATTCAGTAGTGCTTTATGGGATTCTTTTAGGACCACAATTTTGAATAAACAAATAGTGAAGGCTTTAAAACGTCATTTTATGACCATATAATAACGAATATCTGGTTTATTTGAAAAATCAGGAAGTTGAAAGGCTCAATTGAACGATCCAAAAATAGTTAAGGGGCTATATTGAGAATTAGGTATAAGTTCTTGAAAGGTCAATGAGCTTTGATATGATTAAGGCAATAGGCAGTGGGCGGTTGGCAACTAATTTAATGCACAGAATTCAGTAAAGATATTTTTCAGCAAAAGCCAGGCCCAGTCCAGAAGGACCAGAACAGATTTCCCCCCTGATATTTGCCACCCAAGTGACCAAACC